GGGCGGTGGAACAGGAGCAACCACCGGCTCAGGAACTGCAGCAGGCACCGGCTCGGGAGCAGCAGCAGGCACCGGCTCGGGAGCAGCAGCAGGCACCGGCTCGGGAGCAGCAGCAGGCACCGGCTCGGGAGCAGCAGCAGGCACCGGCTCGGGAGCAGCAGCAGGCACCGGCTCGGGAGCAGCAGCAGACACCGGCTCGGGAGCAGCAGCAGACACCGGCTCGGGAACAGACACCGGCTCGGGAACAGACACTAGAACAAACACAGTCGCAAAGACAGACACAAACACAGACACAAAAACTGGGTCAGGCTCAGGAACAGGCACTGGCTCTGCCTCCGGCTCTGGAACGAGCACCGGCTCCGCCTCAGGAACGGGCACCGGCTCAGGAACGGGCACCGGCTCCGGCTCCGGAACGGGCACTGACTGTTCCACTGGCTCAGCCTCCGGCTCGGAAACGGGCACTGGCTTTGCCTCCGGGTCAGAACCCGCAGACACTGGCTCTGCCTCCGGCTCAGGAACGGCTGAGACTGGCATATCCAATATCCGAGCCAGACGCTCCAGGTAGTCCCCGTTCAGGAAGGCAGAGGAAACAGGGACAGTCTCTCGCTGTGCAGACGGGACGGGGACAGTCTCTCGCTGGGCAGACGGGACGTGAACAGTCTCTCGCTGGGCAGAGGGGACGGGAACAGTCTCTCGCTGGGCAGACGGGACGGGAACGGTCTCTTGCTGGGCAGTCGGGACGGGAACAGTCTCTCGCTGGGCAGACGGGACGGGAACAGTCTCTCGCTGGGCAGACGGGACGTGAACAGTCTCTCGCTGGGCAGACGGGACGTGAACGGTCTCTCGCTGGGCAGACGGGACGTGAACAGTCTCTTGCTGGGCAGACGGGCCTTTCCTCCTTCTCCGTCCGCGACGGCGAGAAGCAGGTCTCGAATTGTCCCCATGGACCGATGAAAATTTGGTTGAGCAAAACGTAGCGATGAAGTAGTCCGGGCAATCCAAATACTCGTCATCCATGTGATGATCAACCAGATTCGCCCAGTAAGACTCCTCGTCCTCCATGCTGCTGAGTCCCTTAGTGGTCGGATCTTTCTGTCACGGTACGGTTACCAAAAGTGAAGGAGAGGACTCAAGTGCAGCATAAGGGATATATTTATTAACAAAACACAAAACAAAAACCCACGAGCGGGAAAACATAAAAGATAAAGCATAAAACAGAACCAAACTAGAAAACCAACCTGACAAGGAACAACATGAGCATGACAAGGAAAACCGGGGAAACATAAAGCAAAGATCCGACAAAGACTGCATACAAGGGGAGACTTATAAAGGGAACAAATCAAGAGGGAAACAGGTGGTTGAACTCAAACAATAATCAGGTAACGAGGGGGAGGGATCAGACAATGACATGAGCACATGGCCCAACATAACAAACACCCAAGTGTCACACAGGACAGGACAGACACGTGACAGATTAAGCCAGGAGTAGGCCTAGTTAGCTTTAACATGCCTTAGAAAATACATTACTGGTGTGCATCTTGAGACAAAACAATGGCACTGACTTAAGATATGTCAGTTCAAGTTGCTTTCAGTTAAGACAGCTCAAACATGCATTTTTGTCTGGGACTAGGCTCACATTCTCATGATAATTTGTGGATCAATCTTTCAATCAAAGCCGTGATTAAACAGATGTTTTTTTTTTTAAAGCACAGTAAACTGTTACTGTAGAGTGAAGACGACAGATTAGGTATTTTGCTTTTGTGTTACTGGTATCAATACTACTTGAGTATTGTCAATCTATAATTAGAGCTATATCTGCTATTACTATTAGGCCTACCTACCATTACATGGGTCTCTGGAATACTGCAGTTAAATATTTTTTCTGTTTTGACCTCTAAACTGTGTAATTGACAGTTGTCCCAGGCCACTTAACTGGTATAGCGTATGAAAATTAAAGAACTAGTTTTTTGTATTAAAGCTGCAGTCCGTAACTTTTGGCGCTCTAATAAACAGAACTGCATGCGTCTTGCGGAAGAACATTGTAGCCGAAGCTTCTTCTCTCTGTTTATGTCTATGACGAGTCACGCAGGTACTGTGCTACTCCGCAGTGGTACGACCCGAACCAGTCCTAAATAGTCCGAATATAAACACTTATTATAGGTGTACCGTAGTGATTTAGGATAAGAAAAAAACATGGTTTGGAAAATGGATTCATGATGTACTCGATTATTATATACATTTTGTAAATTTTAAACAAAAAAAGTGACGTACTGCTGCTTTAATGTCTAATATGATTGGACTAATCTGTAATATAAAGAGTTTGAAAAAATTAGTGATCTAGTGGTGGTTTTCCATTAAACCATAATATCAAAAGCTGATTGAATGGAAATGTAATTTAATGTAATAAAACAAGCACACACACACACACAAGGATGATTTGGTGCTCAAGAAACATTTCTTATCAAAGTTGAAAACAGTGTGGCTGCTGCATAGTCTTTTTGTGGAAATTGTGATACCCATTCCCTTACCCAGTGTTGGTATGGTTACTGTCTATTATGCTATGGGGCTGTTGAATGCTTGAATCTGATTTGACGACGAACGTTCAAAGGTGTGCAATTGAATTTAGCGAGCAGCTTAAGTAGTTCCCGGCAGGTCTTGACCACATTACAGTTCTATATCACTCCGCCAAACTAGTTATTTCAAAGGTCCTTACAGACTACAATAACCAAAACCCACAACTACACTGACCCAGCAAATAAATATAGTAAACAATAGGATAAACGACAAATTATTTCCATGTTTTTTACCACAAAATTATGTTTTTATGTATGGGAAGCACATACTCTTTCTCCCACTCAAACGCGCACACACACATACAGTACGGACACACACTCACATAGAAACATGTAGTCAGTGTTGCTCTGAAGATTTTTTCAGTAAAATAGTTTAACAACCTAAAAGCTACATGACAGGTAATAACGGCGTTGTTCTTGGAGAAGATAAACTCTCGAAGATAAACTCTCGAAAAAAAAGTTTCGCTATTATTAGAGACGCTGCTGTTGAGACTGAGAGACGCACAGTACTCAGGTAATTCACTATAATCTCTCTCTCTCTCTCTCTCTTTCCGCTTCGCGTCGTGGCCACATTACCACCTTGGGTGTACATTATTTTTCTAATAATTCAACGGCCTGTTGTCAATTATTCCTTACATGCCTTTGTGGAGCAGTATTTATGGATCACCGAGAAATGGGGATAACATACTTAGCAGTGAAAAATAAATCCATAAAATTAAACACACGCAGTAGAGAAAGAGAAGACCTGAGTAAGGATATAATCTGGGGGCTGTCGGGGCTGGATTTTGATTAATCTTTTGTTCTTGTTTGCATTGCAAGTGGGGGTGGTGATAATTACCTAGAATTCTTTAGTGGTCTCATTTCTTGCTGTTCTTTAACATCTGCCTTCACACTCTCTACTTTTCGTTTTATCTTCCCTCTTTTCTTTTTCTTCTGAACGTGCAATTACAGAGACTTCTTGACTCTTTCTCTCTCTATTGTGAGCTTTCTGAGCCGTAGCATGAGTGCAAAGCGCAAAGCTGTCTTCGTTTCAGCTGAACAGAGGAGGGATGAAATCTGTTTTAAACAGTTTCAGAAAGTAATTGTCTCTCCCACATTCCTACCGTTCTATCTCTCTTTCTTTCTCCTACTGTACTTTAGGATTGAACTTTCCATGCATTTCTCTTCCATTCGCAGACTGAGGGAAACTTGGAAGGCGAGGACTCTGTCGAAGACCAAATATACCAGTAATGCAGAGCACAAATCAGACTTTGTTTCTTATAATTCATTTCTTTTGTGTTGTTTGACATAAATCTCTTTTCAAACCCACTGTTTATTGTCATCAAAGTCACAAAGATATTTATGTAGCAAAATTTAAAACTACAATTTTTTTCTGTTTAACAAAAATAGACATGTTTCTTCCTAAGGCTTTACATTTGCACAAAAGAAACACATTTAAACATGTATTTTTATACAGAATACTCCCACTTTCAAATATCACAGTCGCACACATACGTGCACGCTACAATAAATAAAACAATACAAATTTACTATAGAGTGACATTCAGATATAAATTACTCTGTAGAAATGATTTACTCTTTAAAAATACAAAAATGTATATGTGTATATATACACTGACAAAGAACAGCATTGTAAAACTAAAAAGGAAAATAGGGAAAGAAAAACTTTTCGTTCTTTTGCAAGTGTTTTTTTCCTGTATCTTGTGGCCAGTGTTCCCACACAGAATGTTAATTAAATTCACATGACAGCAATGCAGGCACTTCCACAATATTTCCACACATAATTTTCAGAGGCAAGTCTGAAAGTTAAGTCCTATTTGATTTCACACTCAAATATTTAATTTGTCTCCTTTGTTTATACCCTTTGGTTTACACAACAGTTCTCTACAATTCTCTGCTGGAATGAGCTTCATAATTTCAAATAACTTCATATAAAATTCAGTCTATAGAGGTTTCATTTTAAATAAATAATAAAATAAAATAAATAAAGGCACCGTAAGACCAGGTCTGCCAATTGCTTTGCAATCTAAACCCTGAAGATACAATACATGTACAAAAAAACCAAAGCCACATGCCATTGAGTTCCACTAAAACATCATCTAGAAAATATTGTTTCTTATTCTGTTTTTGAAAAACTCACAATGTTAGAAGCGATCTTCTGTTTTCTCACATTTGACCATGTTACTTAGTTGAAGTCAAAGCAATCACCTATTCATAAGTCTACACAACACTTTATCACTAAACCATAAGAGACAAATCAGACCACGATAAGTAATAAGTCCAACGGATTCTCTTTGAATGTTGGCTAACTAGCAGCTCTCGTGGATTGCAGCTTTACAGTAGTTTGACTTCAAAATGGATCGGAGAACGAAAGAATGAAAGAGAATGAAAGAGGAAGAAAGAGAGAAAAAAGAGAGAAAGAAAAAATACTTTTGCTACTTAAATCTCTTTTGCTACAGTTACATCTTGAATTCTTTTTGAGTTGAGAAATGCAGAGCCTGGTATCCCGCTGTCTTTTCTACTTTCATTCTTCTCTCTCCTTCCAGAGGCGAAGCTCTACCTTTGTGATTGTTCATCTCTATAGCAACAGGAGACCTCAGTCTGTAGGTCTGGCTTCGACTTCCCCATCCTTTACGATTTCCTTAGCTCTTCCAATCTTTCCATTTTCCTGCTGATGCCTGGAGTCGTTCGGGGAACTGCGCTTCATGAGTCGATTGATTATGTCACTGCAGGTCTTCCGGTACTGGTGTCGCAGAAGAGAGTAGACGAAAGGGTCGCATGCAGCTTTGCTGTAAGCCAGACTCTTACACAGCACGCCCCAATATGGATTAAATGGCTCTGTCATAAACAGCTCCACGATCCTAAAGACATGACACAGATATGAGCAAGATATGGTGCTAAGTCCAAAAGACCTGATATTTTACTCTGCAGTTACCACATTTTCAGTATATATTTTTTTTTTGCATATAGAAGGTTATACATTTGTTTTGAAGAGGTAGTGAATGCAGAACAATTTCTGTTTTCAGTGTGGTTATGTGAGGAATAATTTGTGACCTGGAGGACACTAACGGTTGCTCTTAAAAATTGCTTTTGACAGGGGCTTTGAGGAAGAAAACCTACAGCAAGAGTTGGGGATACACAAGACAGTTCATCCTTTCATCTTCTCTGAGCTCACCGAGGTTATGTAACATGCCAAGACAGGAGGCCCGTCTTCATTCAGTCAGGTGGACATACAGGCTTCACACTTCAGAACTTGTTGGATGTTATGGGGAGACCCATTTATATATATATATATATATATATATATATATATAAGGGCTGTCAAAATTAATGCATTTATGCTTTTGACATTTTTTTCAGTTTAAAGCGTTAAAAATATTTAGCGCAATTAACGCAGCATCCGTTTTTTTTCCCGTCATTCTTTTGCTAACGTTACATTATATGATCACGCTCTTATTCATGCAAATGCTTTTCAACCATTCAAGCGCGACAAGACAAGTCTTAAACGAGTTAAATGTAGTCTTAAATGAACATAAAGAGTTGCGATAAAATGGCATCCGCGTAATGTGCGGCAGGTCTTTAAGTGACAGCAGCCTAATAAACCCGCTGCTGTCTGTCATTTAGGATAACCAAAGAACAAAAGAAAAAAAGAAAACCACTCGCTGCTCTTGACTGAATAACTTTGGTAGTTTTAATAAGGATTAATCTGTATTTCATTTATAATTTATGCAGTGAAGACTGAAGTGTTTGATAACTTTATTCAATTTCTGTATATATCCTACCTGTTAGACCTACCCGGAAATCTTAAAGCACTGTTTACAAGATTACATGGGACAAAAACAACGAAAACAATAACTTGTTGTGCATTTTAACAAGGCAAGTAAAAATCTGAACCGGTCTGACTGGGCCAATAGAAAAAAACTGAGCCCTGATATATTGAAGGGCAGGAAAATGTGATATTTATTATAATGGGTTTATGTGAAAATTGTTTTAAGTTCACTTAAATTAATTTATATTTTTTAAAGCCTAAATGTTCAAATGTATAGCTTTCATAAAATATGCAATTAATTAGTTAATTTTTTAATCAATTGACAGCACAAAAATATATATTGATATTCGATTATTTTATTTATAACATAATTATTTTTCATTTATATTGTGATGCAACATGTTTAAATTATTATTTTAACTGCTTTTGATTTAACTGACTTTTTCACTTTTGTTTTAAACACACATTGTTCCTCATACCAACAATAATTATTATCATAAAGTTGAAAAATATTAAGGAATGTCCAGTAACAAACTGTACTTTTTTTTATTTATTTTTTTTTATTCCCAGTCAACCTTAAACAATACACAGTGTCCTCCAGCTTTTGAGTATTAAATCAAGAATGCAGTTAATTACATTCAAAGATCTCAACCTGGCCAACACATTAAAACTATAATAAGAGCATGACTGCACAGATGCTGAGTCTCTAGGAGCCCAGGGAAGAAAAGCAGGTGGCTCACCTGGTGATGACATAAGGGGTGAAACAGACGACGAAGGTTCCGATGAAGGTACTAATTTTGCGGGTGGCTCTCTGTCTCCTCCTTTTTTGCTCCTCCAGACAGCGCTGACGAACACTGGACAAAAGATACGACCTCCATTTAGATGACTTCTCTCACTGTATTATGCTTGCCTTGTTGCATGTGAGATAAGCACATTAGACTGACTTTTATTCGGCTTCAAATAGACATTATTTAAAACTGTATTTATGGACCAGATGAACATACATACTTAACTACTGACAACATAGGAACCTTCTGACAAAACATTAAAGAGACATAACAGGAGTTTCCATAGAGAGAAGATGTTTGCCCAAGCTGTTTTCAGTGAATCATTGAAATGTCAGATTGACTCTGTCACATCTGCAATGGATTATTTAACACTTGCTCACATAGTCAGTTTTTTACACAGAAGTGTGGTGTGTTTTGCTGATTGCTATATCAGTCTATAAAAAGGTAGTTTTTTTTTTTACATGAATACCAAAAGAGCCAACAGCTGGCAGTCATTTTCTTTTCAATTTGCATGTGTGGAGTGCTCTGAATCTGATACATCCCCTGCCCTGCCTGAACACCAGATGTGCTCTTTACATGTGTTGTGAAGGACTATTGTAATTTTGTTGGTTAATAAGTTATTGTGGTCGACACATTGCCATTGAAAGTCATCCGGTGCTCTGGGCAATGAGATGATGATCTTCACTCTCTGACAAGCTCAAATGTCTCTTGATATCTGTTGTTGTCACACGAGAGAGGTGTGTTTACGTCAGCCACTAACTTTTTTCAGCCTCATTATTTGGTAGTTGAATACAAACATGTGCCACATTTTAGGGGTGTAACGGTACACAAAACTGACAGTTCAGTACGTACCTCAGTTTTGACGTCACGGTTCGGTATAGCAGGAGGCGAGGAAACTAAACATAAAATTGCCTTTTTTTTATTAAACGGTGGTTTACTGAACAAATTGAGGCACTGTCTTTAAATTAATTTACCGTAAAACTTCAAATAGTAGCCCGGGCTTTTATTTTCCCAAATCGTCGAACTGCACCGGCTTGTATTTGAGACAGGCGTCTATATGAGACAGGCCTTTATAATTAAGTGTTGAGATGTTGTTCATTGAGTGTAGGCCTAGTCTCTAATCTCTAAAAATCCCCAAATGCTCCACGTGAAACTTCCGACCTTTTACTATCGCGTCAACTGATTTTGATTAATATGCGCGAGGGAGAGAGACCAAGACATAGCGCTCGTGTTGTTTGAAGACGTGAGAGTGCGCGCGCGCGGCCGGAGCGCTCTCTCTGCTCGCGCCCTGTCAAGCGCAGCAGTCATTCTATTCTACATCACTCACCGATCAAAAAAGGCTTTGGCGGGACAAACATTTGCGTTGGCGGCCGCCAAAAAGCGGACGATCTGACGGTTTTAGAAGATTAAATACAACCCGAAACTAAAAAAACAGACCCGGCCTCTATTTGAGACCGGCCTTTATTTACCCAAACCTGCAGCCACACCAGGCGTGTAAAAGAGACAGGCGTCTATTTGGGACTCGGCTATTATTTGAAGTTTTACGGTAGTTATAATTAAAAGTTTCTTAAGGATAGGCCTACACTTTTTTTTATCTCTCCTAATGCTGTAAACTATATAGGGAGCCCTTACTTGCACATTACTATAATATTAAAAGGTAACAACAGAGCCCAAACTATTTGCCTATTCAGTTGCTATTTATTTTTTAGATCTAATAATCCACACTCAAATAACAAATTGTATGCAAACATATAAACTGCACATAAGGCAGTCTTTACATTAACCTCTACATTTAATTATGTTTTTACTCAAAGTGTTGGAAATATAATCATTACACACTGGCTGTCATTTCCATGACAGATATTTTAAACATACATTAAATAATCAAGACATCACTAACAGGTTAAGTAAAATATAATGAATAGCCTATATAGGCTTATACAGTGCATATATTTAGCGAAAGAGTTAATTTCTCTAGCTGACTAACAAGCTGGACACTGAATGACTTTCCTGAGGTAAATGTAATGCTACGTGGGATATTGTTTACAAGCTGTTTTACTGACGTCTTTCCGCCATTGAAACACTGATTGATGTTCATCAGATGTTCATTCATGTTTATTAGGAAGATATGATCGCGTTCACTAGCGCTCCACGCGCGCTGCAGCTTGAGCTGAGGCACCTAGATCTGTCACGCCACTGGAGCGTCAAAACAGCATTTATTGTTTGAATTTCGTGATAAAATGGACATCATTTGAAAAATCGCGGAACTTATTGCTATTATTGGTAGATAATGGTTAGTGCTACAACACTGTATTGGTCTTGTACACTCGAAAATTCGCGGCACAAATACTTGTACTGTTACACCCCTAATACTATTTAATCAAATATCAAGGGAAAAAAATAGTTTTGTGACCAGGTAAAGTGAGGTCAACCTGGGCTAAGGCTGGGCGTGGCAGCAGGGGGCGGGTTGCGTTCGGTACGCCATGAGAGTATCGCGATATGTACCGTGGGTGGTGTATCACAGTTTTTCGGTTCGGTTTGAATATTGTTACACCCCTACATTGTATTATTTAAGATTAATCGTTGATTGAATTGAAAGCAGAATTTTTTGATCACAGTTCTTTTTATGTATTGTCATCGCACCAGTTACATTTGTGACAGAAATGTAGTTCTGAGGGGTCCAGTAAAGTCTACTGTGAATAGTCACATGACCTGAGCTGTTTAAGTTTGATCAATTATAATATGATACCTTTTTCAAAGATCAATCCAATCGCAAATAAATCACAGGGCACGTATAAAGTGCCAGTTTTCATATTTGTGACAGTTTTCTACTCTGTAGTTTCCCAGTAATTACAATGTTGACCAATAATGTTTTAAATTAATTATTTTTACTCTTTTTTTTCCCCATCATTATTGATATTATTTTGTTGTTGTTGTTTGATTCAGTGGTATATCCAAAAAGTAAAATACATGTGTTCACTTAGTTTTAGTAATTGTATATGATTCAGCAGGTTAAATTCCTGTGGACCAAAACGGTGGTGCTGAAACCCAGTAACTCTAAAGAGTTTCTATGGGTTCTATTTAAACTTGAGTACTGAATATGTGATTTAATATCTATTTGTATCTATTTGAAATGTAAAGAATCCAATATGAAGAAAGGGGTATTCCCAGAATTCCCTGTACAAACAATATTAGCTTTTTTTTTTTTGCAATTGGTTATGTACATGTTTGGGTTTTGTTTATAATGCTAAACGCAAATGCTTATTATTGACTTAATTTGTTGCGTTGGACACTTTTAGTGCATGTAAAATGGGCCATCCCTATAATATGCTTGTATCATTGTCATTGTATTTATCCGATAAAGTTCTGGCAACCACCCCTGCCAGTTTATTTATTTATTGATCTCTTAACCGTAAAAATCAGAATATTCGCCCTCATTCTTACCTCGGGTGAATGTCCACTAGCAATAAGAGCGTTTGCATGGTGATCACGTCTATGCGCTTACAGTGAAAGCGCGCTACTTTGAGCACTTTCAGGTACGTGACGCAGAGCACCACTGACACCAGCAGGAACGTGAGCGTGTGCAGCACCAGCGTGTAAATCGCGAACTGCGTCTTGGCATGGAGCGCCCTGCCGTTACAGAGCGTGCACGAAGCGTACAGCTGATGGTAGCCCACCCAGGAGAGGCACGCGGCAACCACAGAGAAGGACAAGGAGTGGACCCACGTGTAAGCCAGTGCGAGCACAGCGTCCCGGTGTCGGATCCTGGAATGATAACTCAGAGGGAACACCACAGCAACCCACCGATCGATGCTGAGCGCAGCCATACTCAGCATGGAGTTGGTGGTCAGGAAAGTGTCCAGAAACCCGACCACCTGACAGAAAACGTGTCCTCCGGGATGTGCATTACTCAAAACCCCAAAAAGTGTCAGCGGCATGCTGGAGGCGGACAGAAGCAGGTCGCAGAACGTCAGGTTGAGTATAAACAACCCAGGAACCTGCTTGCGAATTTCGGCATTGTACAGAAAGCAGATCAGCACCAGCACGTTGGACAGCAGCGACACTACGATGATCACGACGAGTAGGAAAGAGAGCGCGAGCTCTGCGATGTGCATGGTGTTCCCCGCTCTTAAAGCCTCCAACTTCGTACCGCAACTCTAGGACAGTTCATTACGGGGAACTAAATTGTATCAGTGTAACTTGTGGACGTGATATCCAGCGGTGCACGGGTGGTCGATGCACGGCTCTCCATGACTCTGACCTCCGTTTATTCCTCGAAGAGTTGGCATAATCCATCCGAGCAGTTGGATTGCGAAATCTGTAGACTGGACTTGTAATCGCGCAATCCCTCGCAACCCTATGAATGCCTCGCGCAATTGCGCAGTTCGGTTTTGCGTGCGCTTCTAATGCAGAATTCGCCCTTGAAGCAGCTTTATATGTCAAAATGTCCCCCCCCCCCCCATACATACACTCTCACGAAATGCTCACACGTGACTAGCGTCAAAGAAATCGTCAGCCAGGGAATTGATATTGTGAGGGCACTAAATTTAGAAAGGGTTTATATTTGTCGAAGGGAACTCTTTCACGTCACAATGAGGCAAAAGCCCGAGTCTCGGGGTCCAATTTTAGATTCGCTCGCAGCCTCGCACACACAGCTTCATTCTAATGACGTTCATCCTAAAAGATCTAGAAGAGCAGTCTCTTTTTATGTATTTTAGAAACACGATTTGTAGCTCGTTTAATTTCAATGTTTGAAACTTGGTGGTTTGTAGAAATATATATGTCTTAAACTTGATATAACATTGCCTATAGCCAGGCTACTATGAATAAAAGAAATTTAGAAATTCCTAAACCGTATAAATTAGTGTCAAGTACACAAAACATGATGGGCCAGAATTTATTTCGGTAATGAAACAGATATGCTCTTATTAAGATATGAATATCAGGCACATATTAATATACTGCCTGAGTTGTTGTCCTCCCCATTTAACATGCTTGCTGGAGATTTTCTGAAAGATTTTCTGAAAATGTTTAATTGTAATCTCTGATATTGATCAAACATTTGATTGTCCAAAAAAGAATCTGATTAAGTGAGAGCAGCTCTTTTCAACAGCAAATGGAAGAGCTAGAGGCAGACACAAAGAGAAATGGAGAGTAAGGGAGAGATTTGAGGTCTAGCACGTTGCGACTTAATCAAAGCTTTGGTAAAGTATTGATTCAAGCTACCTTGGGGAGAAATAGGATGTATTTATTGTTCAAGCCAAATCGTTTCCGTTTTGTGTGCTATTTATTGAACAGAGAATCATGTTTCTGTTGAATTCTATTAAAGTTTACAATGTTTTGAGATTGATGTAATATTTTAACTAACACACGTTTAAACTTGAAGGTTATATTGAGTTCAAAACGCATCACACACTGCACATTTTAGCATGTTTTTAAATGTCATCTCCCAATAATAATGAATCACTGCTTATGCTGTGACTTGGCTATGCTTTTGAATATGAATATAGAGATAGAGTTAGAGGCGAGAGCCATGCTTGATGCATTTGGCTCTTGCTTGCTTGGCTGCGGGATATGTTAGAAGGATTTCCTGTCACTTTGTGTACATGAATTTGTGCATGTGCACGTGTCTATGTGAGTGCACGTGTGTATGGTTGCATGTTGACATGTAGGGCACCACTTTAATGTCTCACCATGAACTCAAAATGGACAATTCTAGTTTTTTATGAAATATTGCATTATATATTAAAAAAATACTTCCCATCTCTTCTCTGATGGGGTTTACTGGCACAAAGACGGGAAAACAACCACTCATATGAGATCACAGCAATACCAAACCACGACCATCCAATCAATTCCCAGTGGACAAAATCAAGTCCTGCCCTACAATTTTTCTTGTTCCAGATGCTGTTTTACTCGGATATATGTCACAATAGGGAAGAAAAGACTATCGCAAGACTTCCGTTTCATGCTTTAACAGTAGGCCTATTCATAATGATTGCACTTTTTGACTGGCACAAATGACATTTGAAGTTTTTTCCTTTTACCAGATATTTTGCTGGGGAATTACTTTCAGTTTGCCTCCTCCTAATTAGAAAGCAACCTTGACATTTACTTTTACCAGAGGCAGAGGATCAGTTTACACAGACACACACCGGCCCCGATTCTTGTGTTATATGCTTCTATTTCACCGCAGTGTCTCTTCTTACAACACAAACCCCCGTTTGCAATGCAGCATCTCACACACACACACACACACGCACACACACACACACTCATACTCATACTCATTCTCATTAGTGGCTCACTGATGCCGCGTAAGGATCGCCGCTGTCCTCTGTTACCACGGAAACACCCACGCTGTCTGTGCAGTGGGTGTGTGGTGGTCCATCCCATGATCCTTTGTGACAGCATGAACGATTCTGACCAATCAGTGGAGCAACTGCACATATCTTGTTATTCTTCTTGAGGGGGCGATACAGACAGCTTGTCTTGATGTGAAACATAGGCTTTTATCTCCATCTCTTTTTCTGCATAATTCAATACATTTTTCCTCTTTTTTTATTAGAAATAGTGTTTCAAAATATTAGCAAAGATTGTTTAGTCAGGAACAATCAATCTTTAAGTGAAGACTTTATCGTTTTGTATTCCTGCCAAAGCTTGCTTTGACTTTGTCACATTTGTTATAATAATAATAATATTTAAAAATATATTATATTAGTCCACGGTTAAGAGTCTAATATCAATAGACTGACCTTTTGAGCTTGTGGGAAGCACATTGGTTGAAATACATGGGTTAACCTATGTTGATGTTGGACTACTGGTATCATTCTTGCCACAGGACATCATGTACTTTTGGTCCACTGAATTCATGTTTCTACATGGTACAATAGCTGTATAGCTTTGCAAAGGGACCCTCATCCTTTCCATCCCGCTGGTTTTCTTTCATTGAATACTGGGAAGTGCCCTGTTGATCTTTTATATTAATTTGCTTAAGTATTTTTCTCAAACTTGACAATCCATCCATCTAGGCATGCATTAAAAATACCGAGAACCGCAGGTTGACCGAGTCCAGGGGAAGTAGGATGTCAAAATCATTAATTTTTAATGTACATATTTCATTTTGTGCTCCAGTGGATTATACTGATGGTAATTATGTCTAATTAGATAATGCTATTGTTTCTACAGCCCAGAATACACAGCCTGCGATTTGTGTGTGCTGTAATTTTCCCAAACCCTGGGAACGTGAGTGATGTACACATGATCTGCATGGCAAAAACCATGAAATGCTGCTACCCTGTGGACTAGATGCATTGCATTCTGGATCCACTGCTGGCTGATTCTGCTAGATTCATTGTTGTGCTGCTTGTTGTTTGTGTTGTGGTTTGCATTCCCAATCTAGTTTGTCTAGTCAAATGCTGTATTTCAAACATTAATATTCACATTTTGATTAATTAATTCAGCTCATTTGGGTTGTAATATATTCTAGTCTTATGTAAATTCTGCTTCGAGTCCAGGTTTTCTATTTCTATTAGGAATGAGAAGGCTGTAAATGCTGTACTACATTGATCTGTGCAATGAGAGTGTAGGTATAAAGTTCTCTATTATGACTACCAGATTTCATTTGAATGTATTTTTTCTAGTTTTAAAGGTCAGGTGCTTTTGTGCGGTTGTGGCTCCATCTGGTGGTTCAACTGGTTAAATGTTAGTCTGCAATCAGTTCTGTTGCTTTGATTAAGATTCAGAAGGCAACATTTATTTATTCATTTATTGTCAGTTTCTATTTGTTTGAGGGCGGTTGTTTATTTATTATGTATACACTGCATATTCTGTGATTGTCTCTGAGGCATTTCATCTTTATTTTGATATAGCTCATTTCTTTTCTGTGTTGATCGAATTGATTTGTCGGTTACGGCTAGAGCCCCGACTGATCAAAGCCTTGTCCTCATCTCACAATCATAATGTTTTCCTGATGAAAATATGTTGTTTTGACCATAGTTGTTATGCGATTAGCTGGGGATTTGCTTATTTATGGGCCCTAGGCAAACACAGGAATGGGGCCCTCCTCAATTCAGCATATTTACCTGGGATTTCCCCCAACTTCTTCCAATATCCAGCTTGCGCTATTCTCTACTGCTATTTTTGTTTGAAATGGTTGGGGAAATTGGCTTCATTGGCTTCTACATATTGCTAAGCTCTGCCCTACTTACCAATGGTATCGGCTTTCATTTAAATAATTGCTTACTTTTCTAGCTGTTTAAATGTGAGCTCATTGTTTTCACCACTAGAGGGAGGGCTTGACCTTCACTGAGACCATTCTTGTCCCACAAGTCTGTCATCACTTCTTAACAAACCTAATAAACACATCATCAGCATCCCATAATGTCCATGTGCGTTGTCTGGGCACAGACCCAGGGGGCAGAGTATAAGTGCTGTTTGGTCTCTCCTCAGAGGTCACAGTCAGGGTTAATCTGTCATGTTTAGCAAGACTGTGAGGGCACTATTGTTTTCCAACTAAGTTTAATGAGAGAATTCATCAAAACAAAAATAAATAAATATAAAGTCAATATTTACTACACCCCCGTGTACACTGTAAAAGAAAATTATTGTTGGTTTAACTTAAAAAAGGAAGTTACCTGGTCGTAGTTCATTGAAATGAAAAATGTTAGTTGATACAATGAAGGAGATTGGTTTAATACATAGAAACTCAAACTATTTTGTTATCTGAACCACATTTATTATCTTAGTTGATTTGACAAAAGATAAAAAGTTGTGATAACAAATCATGAAAGTATTGTTTTTTACAGAGTAGCCTAGTTCCATACTTATAAGATTTTTTTATTTGTCTGCAGAACACAATAGAAGATACTTTGAAGAATGCCTCAGCTGGTTTTGTATTATGAAAATCGAGCTTTCAATTAAGGACATTAAACAATTGACACACAATGTATAATTGGTCAAAACTTCATAATATGGACAAAAACAGCTGAGACATCCTCCAAAATATATTATTTTAAAATGGTAAGGGCCAGTTGATGTTTTCGTGCTCCACTGCCAGTAAATTATTTTCCAAGGCTCTCTCATTGATGTATGAAGGTGTGCACAGGGCAACTACTAATTAGTCATTAATCAGCTGTTAAATAATTATAGGCTGCTTTTGAACAGTTTTTGGCTAATTTGCTGAATTTAGATAAACAT